AAAAGTAACTCAAAAGTAGTGTAACGCATTACAATTCAGAGACAGTAATATTGTAATGTAACTAATTACTTTCAAAAGACAGTAACTAGTAATATATAATGTATTACATTTTGGAAGTAACTTGCCCAACACTGCTCCTCATACACACATACCGGAAGTACTACAAGTTAAAAAAGCCACTGTTAAAGGAACACTCCACTAATTTTGAAAATGGGCTCATTTTCCAACTCCCCTAGAGTTAAACAGTTGAGTTTTACCGTTTTCGAAGCCTTTAATGTGTCTCTAAACGGCAGCCAGTGACAGGGCTATGTAGGACAGTGATTAAGTGCCTACTTCCTGCTGTGTGAGCTACTGAAATGAGCTGCGCTGTGAAACAGCCAGTCAGAGTAGAGCTCAACATTATTATTCATGACCTTTCCAAATAAGGTACAAACAGACCATTTCATTCTAGGGACAAATCCTAGGGTTGTAAATGGACATGTAAAACCTTTTCTGGAGATTTTTTGCCCTTACCTAAGCCACATACCTTCTATGTAGATATCAGAGAACAATTTAAAATATTGTATCAATGCATTCTATGGCACCTTTAAGTTACTTCAATTGTGGCTCTTGAATTAGTATAAAAGGGAATAAATTACTACAACGTGGCCATTGTTTAACTAAAACAATAATCCCCTTTGTGATCCCCCATGTTTCCCTGCATGCCATGTACACTCCTAAAGCACAAAACCTTAAAGGTACATTTTAGTTTACCATTAAATGGTACATATTAGTACTTTATAGGTGCATATTAGTACCTTTTGAAAAGGTACCCTCCCAGAGACAGTTTTGTACCTTATTTTCCTCAAAGTGTGCAGGGCTCTGTATTTTGTTACATGTTAAAGTATTAGTTGCCCAAACAATTCTCCCATTTACAAACCGTTGGCGCAATGATAGATATTTTTGGCTGAAATTACTGTAAAATCCCTCCAAGCTAAATTTATTCTGGAAGGGATCTCAATAACAACTGACCCAAAATAAAATATAAAGATGCATACATGGCAGCGTAAGAGCTGTATTTAAAGACACTCTCTGGGAGCGCTCTGTAGAACAGCAACTGTGATACGTGTCGACACCAACCTTGTCCTTTCACAGAGCAAGCAAAGGGTACCAGAACATTCACATTACAAAGGCTTAGTAGGGCCATGTATGCCCTGTGATTTAATCCAATATGAAACCGGACCCACTTGCCCTAAAAGATTTAAACCCAATTAGATCCCAAGCCTCTGCAGAGGGATTTGGGTGGTATTTCAGCAACAAAAGGCATTTCGCAAGACCCTAACCACAAAATCTGTTGTTCCATTCTGACACCCAACTGAAGAAGAAATTAAAATAAGACAGACATGTATAGAACAACGGCTTCAGCAAAGATGGGGGTCACTAAACTGTATACAGACACGCTTAAGCTCACATCACATGTTGTTGTGGAAGAGCTGGAAATGTGTTATGCTTGTTGTTGATGAGGTGGCAGGTCAAAGGGCAGAGGCCCAGAAGAGTATGGAATGAGAAGGAGAGGAGTGCCTCAGGGTGAACTCCTAGGTCCATTGCTAATGAAGGCTGAGACATGTTTGACCACAACAACCTGCTTGTTTTTTTTGTTTTGTTTTTTGACGGAATGTTGTTTTTCTGTAATAGGCTTGTGTTTGTGCAAGTCTGAACATTGTTTGTCAAGATAAGTTCACTAAAAAGACTAGCTTTATTCTGTTATGGTACTTGAGAACACCTTTGGTATCTGCAATTGTTCTATTTTGTGCAGTTTCTCTCTTTCAAAGCCATTATTCTCAATAAACAAATAAATAAATTCCTTGATGGTCACGGACAGGTGTGACACAGTTGATATAACAGAAAAAATAGCAATGGTTCCGCATTGTCGAAGACCTTTGTTGACCTTTGACCAAAATGCTGTGTTATTTTGTACAAGCCGCAGCAGTGTAAGAGTTTTTCTATTTTTTCCACAGCTACTAATTTCTTTGGTATTTTACTAATCCATACAGCCTATCAAAGCCTAGCTTTTCCAGTTCCATCTAAATGACTTCACACAATTTACCAATCTTTGAGTTATATGAGACTTATTTGTAGGATTGCCTCTAGTGAGTTTCACGTTCTGTTCTAGGCTTGTATGTCTACAGATGTATGACCGACAGGCTGTGGAGGGGGAGGCGGATAGAAATGAATTCCTCACAGAGCCATGGCCAGAAGTACAGGCACATACAGGCAAGCAAACCACAACAGAGTCACTAACTCAGGCCAGATTCTTCCACCCAGATAGCAGCTGTACACAAACTCAACTGCCCCTTCTCTTTCTGTCTCTCTCTCCTCTCCACGATGTTCCACGAAACTACAGCAAAACCTATTTTGAGCCTCTTTTTCCCTCTCAGTCACTATTCTACTTGAAAAATTTACTTAAGTACAGTAACGAAATAAAACTACTCCGTTACTGTCCACCACTGCTATTCCCATCATCACTCTTTAACTGCATACACCAGTGTTGACCTTGGACAATGTTGGCCTTAAGCTAGCATACTCCTGCTAGGCTGAAAAGAAAATATTTTTGGCAGTTTTACTGAGGCCTGCAGACAGAAAATCTATACCCCATTATATGTGGCCTACATTAAGAACAGGTAAAGGTTTGAGGGGTGAAATTAGTCTACGATTATATTGACAAAAAAGACAGGTATGCATTGCTGTGAAATACAGGTCAAACTTCAGTTAACATGACCATTAATGTATTTACAGTTCAAGTGAAGTAAAGGAGCCTCAGACAGATTTGATCAACTATTAGCCAACAACTAGTCAACATTATGAAATCCGTTTCTCCTTATACATAAAAATAAGCTTAAATAAATAAGCTGGGAAAATACTCCTTATACATAAAATATCTAAAATATCTTCTTGAAGTAGCCCCTGAGATTTCAATAATTTAACAACATAGTTAATGCTAATGTAAATAGTTACATTTAAGGGTGTTCACATTTGGGTTCACTCTTTACAAGAACCATCTAACACTTCAAGTCACAATTCAAATATCTATGTCTTAGATTTATGTCTTCAAACGTTCAAATCCTCAAGCGTTTATTTTGGTAGAAAATTGGTTAAATTGTTAAAAATTATGTAAATATGAATGTTACTTAAGTGAACCTATAGAGCACATTACACTCCCAAATGCACATTAAACTAACAGGTTGTGAAGTTTGTGAGAAACAGGATTTATCGAGCAAAAACACGGCAAACTGCAAAAGTGTAAATGAACACAGTGCCGCTCTTCACTCTGAAACATGCAGTGCAACAGACTATATAGTTCTTTAATTACATTACAGCCTTTTATTAAATAATCACAGTTATTCCTCAGTGGTTTTCAAACCCTGGGAACTAGGACTGTGCGATATTTATCGTTCACTCATTTTGAAAAAAATAAATAAATAAATAAAAACATGTCTTCAGAGTCCAAAAGCATTCACTGCATGATGAAGCCTGTTAGAATGCAGTTAGAGTGCTACTATAATTCAGGGTTCGAAAGAAAAATATCCCTGTATGGGTTTTTGCTTTGTTATATTTACAAGATATGATCTAGTTAAGTAATAGGAATTTAAAATTCGTTCCTGAATGAATCTGTTTTTTTAACAAATTGTTTGAGTCATTGATTCAGTGACTCATTCGTTTGAATCAGCCATTTTGAACAAATCGTTTGAATTAACGATTCAATTAATCACTCATTAATACACGGACTTGCTGCCACCTACTGGCGGCTTTAGTGTCATATTTATTTATCCATGACAGGTCTAAACCAGCCAAGGTACAAGCATGAAAACACACTCAGAAAAAGATCTCTTTACCATTATCGAAAAAAAAATCCCAATAAATAGAGATATCATTTTTTGTCAATATCGCACACACCCCTACTGGGAATCATGCCCTAAACCAAACATGGCTTGCTAACCTGGCAAAGCTGTTGTTCAGCTGGTTTATCTGGTCTGTGGCCAAAACCTTGCCTGGTGATCTGCTAAGACCAGTAAACCCCCTTTTCAACAGGCATATGAGTTTCATGGGCAAGACCGAATCTTCATCATCACCAATTTAAGCTGACGCCAGAGAGCTTTCATCCCCAGTATTACTGAAGGTGGTAAGATGACACCAGCTAAATTATGCCTTAGACTTCTGTATACATGACACAAACAAGTTTCCTACTTACTTGTCCACTCTATTACATTGAGGCAAATTGATTATTAGTCAATAGTGAAGAAAACTTATTTTTCACCACTATGTGAAACTTCTGTATTTTTCTGCAGCTCCAAACTTGTTTGCATTGACCTGTGTGTCAGCATAGAGCCACTACGGCCATGAAGATTCATGTTTCTTTCTCCACACACTCCTGGACAGATTATTACATATGCATGTGTATTCAGAATGAGGGTATGATGTCAGGCTGGAGTTCATAGATCAGGTTACCTTCAGCAAGAAAATAAAAATTTGTATCATCTTACAAGGTAAACAAACTCCCCCAACCCCTCAGTCCGTTCATCAAGCTCTCCCTAACTAACATGCTTTAGCTGCATTAAGCCTCTGGTTGACTTTGGATTATGCTGTCAGGTTTTTATACAACAGAATGCACCCTTAAAGACTGTGTCTTTAATTTACTAAATTGATTTCAAAATCAGAAGCGTTCTGAAATTGCTCTGCCATTTAAACAGCGTTTTATTTCTCTGTCTTGTGAAAAACCATCTGGTCTATACAAAGAATGCAGAGGTGGCGGGTTTCATCTGTGATTTAATGGACTGTCAGGTTGAAGAGCTGTCAACACCAAGCTTAGATGGAGAGTTTGTGCCACATCTCTGTCCACGTGCAGGGTATTATCTTGCACGCTGGTCCCAATCACAAAGGGGATTTGGTTATGGAATGGACTCAATAAGCAATAGGAAATATTAATCAGGGCTTGGAAACCCTGTATGGTTTGGTTTAATGCTTCTTGATCTCAAAGCCTGGATATAAGATCAACAATAAATGCTAACATCTATTAATATTCTATTGTAGAGCCACAGAAAAAGAAAATTTGTCTCCACCAAGAGTGAAGAGTGAAAATTTTCTCGAGAGGCTTATGAGTATTACATAATTATGGAATAAATTAGTGCTGTCAAACGATTAATCGCGATTAATCGCATCCAAAATAAAAGTTTTTGTTTGCATAAATTATGTGTGTATTTATTATGTACATATAAATACAGACACATACAGTATATATTTTGAAAATATTTACATGTATTTACATGTCTACATTTATATTATAAATAAATATATATTTAATATATAAAAATAACATACTTTCTGAAATATATACATGCATGTGTGTGTATTTATATATACACAATAAATATACACAGAACAAACACATATATTATGCAAACAAAAACTTATTTTGGATGCGATTAATTGACAGCACTAAAATAAATAAAAGATTGCTGAGAATTAAAGAATTTTGTGTAATTTATTATACCTTTTTATTTATTTCATTTATTATACATTTTTTTATAAAGTCATGAGGGGGAGTAAATGATGACAAAATTTTAATTTTTGCTATCTATCAAGAATGATATATTGTAAGATTGTAAGCATTTGTGACCCAAAGCATCTGTGTCTGTTTCCTCTTATTGACTGTTATGGCTTTTTAAGGACCTCTAAACTGTGGTTGCACCTTGATCAGAGGATAAGAAACAGTATAGCTTCGTACTTGTAAACATTTGCACTTGGTTACAGCCAGCTGTAATGTGGAGGATGTCAACAGCTGAGCAGCCTCAGAATTTAGCTTAAGCCATATTAGCTGCTGGCTACGATACACGCTATCCACCTCTAAAGAGTCATCCATTCTAACTGTCAAAGAACTGATCTGCTTTCTCAGGGCCCACGGCCCGGATTTAGTGAGGATCTTATGCACCACTAGTAGCTGAGTCCCTGGGACCAATAACAGAAAGCAAAGGGATTTCAGAAACCCAATGCATCTGATCCATGTTAAACTGTTGCACCATAAGAATCAAATCCTCTATTATTTCAGGTTCTTGGCTGACCTAAATGTTATAAAAAATTAAAAGGTGCTTTGTTTATGTTGATGGTCGTTCCAACAAACTAAGATCCTAGCCAAAGACAAACTCTAGGTTTTAGCTCATATAAAATGAGGCAGTTTGTGTATACGAGACATCACCTCAATTTTCCAGATTCCAAAACCAGACGAGGAGTGGCTAAATATACTTAAGAATCCTACTGTATGTTTACCCTGAGATTCTAAGCAAGAGTGTTACTGGTTCCAAGAGACACCCAAACATAAGGACAAATATTATGAGATTTTTTTTTAGAAATTGGCACATTCCTAGGGTTGTAGAAGTAAAGGGGGATTTGGACTTTGAACATTTAAGCATAATCATCAAAGGAAGTAGGAAACACCTTACCTGCTAAAGTGTAGTCCATGTCAAAGCCGAAGCATTTAATCTTTTCCATGGCCAGACTTCTGTTCACAAACACTCTGGGGAAGAAGGTGAAACAGTCAGAGGTGTGTTTGGTGGCAATAGTCTGCAATTCGCAATTTTGAGAAATAAAATAAAATGGCTCGCTTTTAGAAAACAAAATAAAATAAAAAAACTACTACACTATGGCATTCCCAGCAATAAATAAACTCCCATCCCTGGGCCAACATGCACTCTAAAAAATGCTGGGTTAAATACAACCCAGTGCTGGGTTAAATAGGGACAAACCCAGCAATTGGGTTGTTTTGACCCAGCGGTTGGGTTACTACCCAGAAGGTTGGGTTAAACATTTAACCCAACCGCTGGGTCAAAACAGCCCGATTGCTGGGTTTGTCCCTATTTAACCCAGCACTGGGTTGTATTTAACCCAGCATTTTTTAGAGTGTAAATCTGAACTATCCTAAAATGGCTGTTGCCAGCAATCTATCTCGGAATATAAACATTTTAGAAACATTTGACGATAATGAGCTTTTAAAAAG